TGTTCGTGGTAGTTTCCCAGGCTAATTGCACGTTAGTCTGGCCTCATCCACTGTTGCTCTCTGCTCCCACACAGCGATGGCTGTGCAAAACCCACATAACACTGTTAAGAGCGAGTGGGGAGTTGTAACGCTGATGCCTTTTGCCCCCTGAATACCTCTGGCACCAGACCAAGGGCCGTTTAAAGGCAGGACTCCGAGCAGAGCTTGCTAGTTGTTTAAGTGGTCTCTCTCAATCTGAATTAAAAGAATTAAAATTCTTGGTGGATTACCGGTTGTAGTCATGACAACAAATTCCCTTTCTTTCTCTTTTTTCTGGAATTGTCCTGTAGTTCAGATATGGTGCCAAACAAAATCCCTAAATTTTTTTTAAAAAACTAATGTTTCAGGTAATAGCAGCATTAAATTAAAAAGCAAAATAAATGGTCATCAGCATTTTGATGACCGTATATGTTTTATGCCTGGTATCTTCTTCTGAAACTGGAAATCTCTTGACTGTGCAAGTCAATAAAGCTTTTGTTCAGTAGTATTAGAGGGAATTTTGTTAGCCTAAAAGAAGTGGGGATAATTACTAACAGGAGTTCTTGTGCAGTGTATACCTGTAATAGTTAAAGGGAAAGATGCTTAAATTTATTCTGACAATTACAGATACAGCACTGGAGGAATCATTTGAATTATTCATTCTGCAACAAGGAAACATCCCACTTGTCTTCTCTTTAGAAATGAAATCCTAGTCTGATTTAAAATATACTTTTATAGGTTCGTTTCCTTTTTTCTAAAGTAATTTTGCCATTTCAAGATTTCTATTATAATTACCTGTGAATGTAGGTTTTTAACAAAAATTATTCTGATTTCTAAAAGAAAGAAGCAGCTGATTTTTTTACATTAACTGCTTCTTGTTGAATAAGTTTAGTGAAATTCAGCTTTCTTTCATAAATAATGCAGCACTTGCATTTGATTAGGTGAAGCCTAGAGGAATTTCTACCTAATCAGATGCATAGCAAGAAGGATATTGCCTGCAGACTGTTACCGTTATCAATGGTGGTGGCAAGGAAAATACAGCTCCATGTGTGTCCAGATAGAAAGCTTTGTTTCTTAAGAGAAGTTGCAAAACAAGGTATGTATGTTCCAACAACTGATTGCTTGCATCTCAGAATGTCCTGACTATTTGTAAAACAAGGTCTGGCTTCTGAGTATTATCATTACTGTGGCATGAAGAGATTCCAGGTTAACTGGAGACCTCCTTATCCTGGTAATGTGTTTCTGACCCTTCCAAGAACAAAGGCATGTGGGGAAGAGACAATCTTTGCATCAGAGAGCTAAGATCAAAATAAGTAAAGTAGACATCAGGAATTATTGGGACCAAGTCCAAAAGCCTTGAAAAACAGCAGAAACCTCCCAATAACATAAAAAGGGAGGAAAAAATGTGCATATACCTCCATTCATTAAAACAATAGATCACATGCAGCAAAAACCAAGGCTGTTTGCAAATGGTGTATCTGCAAGTTTTGGAGAAACATTTTGAGAACTCTTGAGTAAATGTTGCTTTAATAAGTCACCTGTGGTCAAGTTTTATGCTGTTCTGTAAATCCAGACTTTGTTCTACTCTGTTCTTATCCCCAGGAAGCTGTTATTAACAGCAGTAGATGTACATGAACAGAGGGTAGTTTAAAGAAGGCCGTTAGTCCTTTAGTCAACATCTATAGTAATAAATAAAAAAGGATCTGGTCCCCATTCTGTAGCACTGAGGCCAACTGGCATAAATTCACCTCCAGGTATTCAGTAAGTGTTTATATCCTCTGAGAGACAGTGGCCAAGCCCAAGCTGACTTTTGGGACCAAACCCTGGTCTGGGCTCGGCCCTGGACTGCTCCTGAGAACTATTTGAGGGTGATGTCAAACTGTTGGGGATCATGTTAACAGTATAACAGGGTGAATGGTCGTGGGCTCAGGCTCTGGCTCTGGTTACTTTACTAGAGGCAATGCTCTCCTAGGGCTTGGTTATGCTTTCTGCTGAAATCAGTTGAGTGGCATCTTGCTCTACTGCTGTAGATACTGTATAGCAGTAATATTCCAAATAAAACTGTAAAGAACTGAACCCTAATGGCAAGGCCCAACACCACTGCATTATCTTACTGTGCTCAGATTTTTCTCTTAATGTTTCTTCAGATATGTAAAATTGCAAATGTCGGAAGTTCTTCAGACCAGTTGCTAAACAGGTTTAATCTGGTGATTTCTGCTAGCTGAGGTTCTGGCTTTTCACTTAGATTTCTTGGAAAGGGCAATGAGATGTAATGAATAAATGTAAAACACAAGAAATAGAGCCCAGGCTACATGGGAGACGTGCTTGCATCCTGTGATTTGCTGTCGAGAGGTTTTAGTGCTGAGCTCAGAAGTGTATTTATGGAGCTGCTGGTCAGAACTGTGCAATTTAAAGGTAAAATCAGTTCTCTTTTTTAATCTTGAGTTTTCATTCCTCTCCAAATTGGTGCAAGCAAATCTCCTGGGGCCTAAAATGTCATGGGAGCACTACAGGCCAAGAACAGAATTAATTTCAGAAAGTTTGAGAGCAAAACCATCAGGTTTAGGGCTGTAAAATGTTAATCTGTTTCTGACTTTCTCAAGAATTGTCTGAAATACTTTTGCCCACTCATAACTCAAGCGACTTCATGTCAGCTATTAGAGCTGATTTTATGTGGGAGTACTGACAGAAGTAGTGCACGGTTTTTATCATAGCCCACTGGGAAAAAAGTCTCAAAACTGTAACTACTAGACCGTTTTTTTTGGTCCAAAACAATGTCAAAATCCCATGGAAGGAATGGGGAACAAGGCTGAGCCCTTGGTCATTTGCCCTAAGGTAGATAGGATGTTCTTCGCTCGAGACTCTGGTCAAGGTATCACACAGAGCTGCATCCCAAGTGAAGAGTAAGCAAGCTCGATCCTTTCCATTGCTTCCCTGCTGTTGCTGTTGGAAAGCATTACTCCCAACCTGCTTCACCTTGGGAGGCTTAGCCTTGATGACCAGTGGATTTTAGAGCCAAGGTTAAGCCTCAACACTATATCTTCATCACCCTCTTGTTCTTTGTTGATGCTTCTCCAAGCTCAGGCAGCTTCTCAGGTCCTGAAGTGCATCAGGCTCACTGGGTAGCTTCAGTAATGGAAAGTGATACTATTTCTGTGCCAACTGCAGTCTCACCATGAATTTCTTACTCTTTGCTACTCTGTGACAACATCAATTGGGGAACTCTTCAAAAATCACTTAAGCAGCAAATGCAGGTAGCGAGGGTGAATGGAGACACTGGGCAATGCACCTGAGGGCTTGCAGCAGCAGAAGTGGTTACCTCTGAGAGACGGGATGCTTGTCTGTATGGGAGGGCTGTTGACAGAGTCTGCAGTCATTAGTTATATGAGTGGTGGTCACTACATTTATCTTTTGTCATTACAATAGGCTGTTTTAAAAAACGTATGTGGCTGCATCCTTGAATGATCTCTCCTCAACTATGTGGCTTTGCAATCCTTGTCTGCTAGGCTTGATGTTGGGTGGAAAAATGACTTTGGGCTCTTCTCTTACTTAGTTGTAGGAAGCATCCTGGGTTTGTTACTGGTGCATGTCCATTTCTCCTGGAGTTCCCTCATGCATTCCCAGCTTCACCCCCAAGTAAGAACTTGCCAAAATCACTTATGTGCTGTGGAGTGAAAATGTGACTGATACATGTTGCAGCAGTGTATAAAATACTAAATTATTCATGGTACTTAAGCACAGAAGATCCCAGGGCTGAACTGACATAATGAAAAACTCCAGGCAAAAAAAACCACCATGGAATTTCTTGGATTAAAAACAGTTGCAAACTTTAGAGTCAAACTATATTATAGAGTCTTAATCCCTTCTTCCTTTAAATGCCTCTCCTCATGCTGTACCCTGCGCTATCATAGCCAACTACTTTTAATGTCATTATCCCATGATACTACTTTTAATGTCACTTTCCCATGAACAGGGACATAAGGCAAAGAAATGTCAGATGACTTGTCCTCATCCAAAATAGAAAATCTGCAGTGGCAGTGGGATTTGCAACTAGGTCTTCTCAAACCAAAGCTTTGACCATCTTAACCAGCTTCCTCTCTATCATGAATCAAGTCATCATCTGGAAGGGTCACAAAGGGTCCTGGGTGCTAAATCTTGCCCTGGATCACTGTCACCTCTGGAGTTTTCTGGTGAAAGACCTGCAAACCAGAATATTAATGTAGGAGCACAACTTTGAGAATTTAAGCAGCTGAATGGACCATGATATGCTGCTTAAAATTATCCATGAATTAACAAAGATGCACTGGGGCCAATATGTAGAGCTACAACTGAAACAGGTAGATTTAAAGATCAACAGATCATTTAAAAGGGGAACTGAACCAAGTGGTTTTTACCACTAGAAGCTTGGGGAATTCATACTGTTAAGCAGCCTGTTTCCAGATTTTTTTATCATTTTGCTTGGTCCTGAAAACATTGTTCAACAGCTGATTTCAAGTTTCCTTTTGCACTTTATTATCACTTTTATTGTGGAAAATGGATTAAAAACCCCACAAAACAGATCAATTTAAACAGTGTTGTGTTGGTTTCTGTATATGTCAAAACTTATTTCCATTGGAAATGTATTTTTGACAAAGCAGTTCTTGCTTGTTTGAAAAACATTTTGAATAAAAACGTTCAAGATGCTTTAGTCGTTTTTCCTTTTGCTTGGAGGGTAAAATAGATTTTCAAAGCTGTTCAATGTTCCCTTTTGCCCTGGAGGCACACAGGAACTGTAGGAGAAGATTTGATTTGCAGTCTCTTTGGGAGTTGAAAAGGTTCGTCAGGATTCCATCAGGACCTGCAGCAAATAAAGGGAAAACAGTGTTTCCTAGCTGATGTCCTTCCCTTTACCGAGAGCCGAACAACAGTGGTGGCAGCATTAGTGACCTCAGCTTTATTTCTCAATTAATGAGTGTCTGTAACTTGATATTTCATTTTCCTAGACTGTACCCTCGTCACGCAAGTGCTCTCAACAACTTGGGGACATTGACCAAAGATGTGGTGGAGGCAAAGGACTACTACAGACGGGCCCTTCAGTTAAACCCCCAGCACAATCGAGCTCTCTTCAATCTTGGCAACCTGCTCAAGTAAGTTGAACGCAAAACTGTCACCAAGGAAATTCACATTCTCTCTAGAGACATCACCAAAGTAGTTTTTTCTGCCATCTGGTGAAGGAATGACATTATTTCTTAGTGCCGGCCAAAAGTGTTGGCACAAAGGTGAGACTTACCTTGGATATCCTTATGCTGTCTGCCGCATCACTTCATGTGCTGTTTACAATTGTGTTTCAGTTGGAGGGAATTCACTTGCTCCAAATCAGGCATCAAAAATGAAGTTCCTAAACCCAACTAGTCACCTGGCGTTCTCATCTCAGTGGAGAGGTATGAGCCTTTGCAGTGGAGCAAGCCATATTGTTCACAGACAGGCATCTGATGCAGATCTAATAAATAACACAGATCCAATAAATCCCTCTCTGTGAGTTCCCACTTCTCCTCATTAGCTGTATGGAAGGTTGATGTGTAGTTTAGGCATAAGCAGCTAACTCTGAGATGCTCAGAGCAACAGAAGGTTCATCCCGCTGCAGAGTGGTGGGTCTGTATTTGAGGGGAAAGCTAGTTTACATCCCTATACACTTACTCTGCTGAGCAAGAAAACAAATTAATCAGCTCATAATTTCACTGTTACTTACAGTGTCAGCCTTTAGCAAGGAGAATAGCAGATGATCATAATCATGCAAATTAATTTGACTAACCATGTCTAAAGATTGAACTTAGATCTACACAAGAAGCTTTGTCAGTATGATAAGATCTGCTAGGGATGCAATTTAAAAAAAGTAAAATATCTCTATTCCTGCATTGCTATTTTGCACTAGCAAAAAAACCCTTTGTTTCTGTGAGGATAGTGTGTTATATGCTGACAGAACTGCATAAGCTACAGCAGTAAAAGTGCATTTTTGCTGATATAAACTGCACCTATTTTGCTGGTAATAGGTCTCTGGTAAATCTTTTAGAGCAGATTGGGCTTTAGTGTTGGACTGGTTTTAAAGTGACACTGTCGCATCAAAACATACTTGATCTTTCTGGTTCTGAAATGTTACTTGAGTGTGAGTTTATATGAGGATATTAAGTGGATTGCTGAAGTTCTGCCTGGTCCGTTCGGTAGTGGAGAAATTATCAGAATATTACAAGCAAACCTGATGGTTTGAAGTTAGAATATGGCAGATGAGTAATTCTTAAATAGAAAGTAGGTGAGTGCTTTACTGGAAATACTCACAAGAAAGAAAAATGGTGAAGAGTCTTATTATAAGAGAAATGGAAGGTCTTTGTATTATTCATCAGATTTAGTTGATTGAAATTAATCTTAGGTGATAATGGTGTTTAAAAATACATATTGTCCTTTTAATCCATCATGTTTGCCTTAGTTATTATTCTCTGTGATTTTTAAAAAAATATAAAATATTAATTCAAAAGGACATAAGCCAGAAGCAGCACCAGGACATCCCGTGTCAATAACACTTAAATCTGGCCTGTTGATGGGCTCTTATGACCCAGCAGTTGGATAGAAACTGGATTTGTTGAACTGGCAAAGCACAAAGGAGACATGAGGGAAAATCTCTTAGAACTGCTGTTTGGTTTGTGTGCAATATGTCATGCTTTTCCTAATGTGATAGTTAAGACATTGTGTGTACTGTTGGACTACATGTGCTCTGCGTCCTTCTGCGGTGCCGTATATTGTGGTATGCTAAAGGTGTGTGATGCTTGTGCTAAACTTGTTAAAAGAAAGTGCTTGGGTTCTACCTGCCCTTTTTCCACACCCTTTTGCTCCCATTTTCTAAACTTACTTTAGGCTTCCAAAACAACTTAGTGCATCTGGACACACCAATAGCATTAATTATAATAGAAACTGGGTGTTCTCATCTCCCTGTTCAGCTTTAAAAAAAAAGTGAAAAAATAGATAGAGTTCATGGTGGAAGGATTAGCACATATGTAAAGCAAATGCTGCGTGGGCAGATCCTATATGAATGTCTCCCCTAAAATGCTAGTCCAAACCCCTTTGCCAGCACCTTTCCTGGATCATCCATCAACTTAGCAGAGATCATCAGCTGTGCTGGAGCATGAGGCGACTTGTGAGATGACCAGACAGAAAAGAGGCAGAGATTTCAAGCTCGTCCTTCCTACAACTTTGTCTTTATTTATGTTTTCTACCTGTGTCTCTAAATTATCCTTTCATATATATGTTTATAGCCAACCGTATTCTGCAGACACTAATGCTAGTATAATCTAGGTAATAAAATAAAATCTACAGAATATTACAGGCAGATATTACTTTCTGGCTGCACTATGAGACATTATGAAGAGTGTTTTGATTTTTAAACGTATGGCAGAGAGAGGATAAATGGTCAAGCCATAAAATCATTTTCTGTCCTCTTTGCAGAGGCTTCGGTGCATGGTGCAGATCAGGAAAAGCCAGATCTGCAACACTTCAGGCATGTCCGGTAACAGCACTGCTTGTACTGGGACATGTAACGAAACTGTCTGGCATGGGGATTTCCCAGTTGAATTCTGCTGAGTTCCTAATACCCACTCCTGCTTGTAGCATGGAAATCTGATGGCAGATACTAGATTTCACCTCCTCTGGAGTGCTAAGAAAGGGGAACTCCAGGATTTTGGAAGGATGGGTTTGCTATTCCCATGTGGGAATCTGCCTCTCGTTATTCCCTCTAAATAAGCTCCCTATTTAAGCATCCATTGCTTGTGATTTAAGCTTGAGTAAAACTCTGCTTTGAGGACCACAGGGTGGAATTTTTATGTTTTTTTCTGCAGAAGTCCTAGATGAAAAAGGGTGTTTCCATTTTCTGTTTGCACATAATGACAACAGCTATGTGCCAGAAGATGAATGTTCTCAGGAAACATTGCAGGGTAATGGCTCTGGTTTTGTTTACATATCCTAAAATAAAGTTGTATGTCATCATTTTCTTGCCTAATATAAATATTGGGGAGTAGATAATTAAACAGTGCCAACAGATTTCTTAGTTAAAATAGACACAAAAGATGGCCTACCTAAAAGTGAGAAACTTCTTTCTCTGCTTTCATGGTCTGTGGTCAGTGACACAGAGCAGCCTGGTGCTGCTTTCTTGTATTTTGTTTTGAAGTTTCCCATTATATAAATATTTAACTCCTTTATATAGGTTCAGTTTTGTTGAGATACAGCTTGAAAAACTGAGATAAATATCATTCAGAATACCTCACAAATTTATAGCCTGTGGAATATTCTCTAAAGAGACATGGAATAAAATATTATGAACATTTGAAGTAAATGTCTATCTCGGCTTTCTGTTGCAGGAAGAATGGGAGAGAACTTTTTATTTGTGCTACTGTATCTATCCATACCTAAAGTACTCCAATATTCAGTACAGTACTTCTTATGAAGAAAAGCCTCATAACTTTTGCATGCTTTGAGAGTGTTATGGCTTCATTTTCAAGGGGAAAGTGAAATGCCTAGAAACAAAGTCCACTGAAATCTTGAGTTTATTTAAAGGACTGATTCTCTGTTGAATGTAGAGTAACACACAATGTGTCCTGTGCGTTTGTTGCCGTGATTTAGTCCAAGTTTAGCAAACCCATCTATTCAGAGGAAGGAGGACTGTCTGCCCTCTCTGATACAGGCTTCTGGATATGTATGTATGTGAATGTGCTGACACAACCTTGTGTAACTGTCTGAAGATGCTGAAAAACATCAGATAGATATTATTTGTATTGAGATTTAAGATCTTAATAGAGAGTGAAACATTCCTCCCTTCCATTCAAAGAAGCAAACTGAGTGATGATGCTCAGTGTTACTACATCTGACTTTCTGGATGGTCTCTGGTAAGGATACTCTTCATTGAATGAAGTGCTGTAGTTATCCATCAGTATAACATACACATTGTAGCTCCTTTATTAAAAAAACAACCTCTGGCAGTGTCAAATTTACAGTAGATTAAAAAAATAACTTAGGTTGGAATGGAGCTCTGGACATCATTTGGTTGGAGATCAAGCCCACTACTCAGAGGAAGTCTAATTGGATCAGGTTGCTCAGGGCTGTGAACAGCTGAATCTTGAACACCTCCAAGGACAGAGGTACCACAGCCTCTCCATGCAACCTGTTCCAGTGTTTGACGACCCTCATGGTAAAAAATATTTCTCTTTATATCTAATCAGAAGTTCCCACGTTCTTATTTGCATCTTTTGGCTCTTGTCCTGTCACTGTGCACCTCAGAGAAGAGTCTGGCTCTGGCTTCTCTATATCCTCCGACCAGGTCATTGCAGGCAGCACTGAAGTCACCTCTGAGCCTTCTCTTCTCTGGGCTGCACAGACATGGCTCGCTCAGCCTCTCCTCAATGCAACGGGTGCTCCAGCCCTAACCTTCTTTAGTGGCCCTCTGTTGGGCTTCCTCCAGTAAGTCCATGCCTTTCTTGCACTGGGGAGCCCAACTCTGGACAGACATTGTTCCAGATGTGGTCTCACAAGTATCATATAAAGGGGAAGGATCACTTCCCAGGACCCACTATTGGCCGCCTTTGCCATGTAGGGTACATTGCTGGCCCATGATCAATTTGTTGTCCACCAGGACCCCAGTCGTCCCCCAACCTGTGCTTGTGCACAGGGTTATCCCACTCTGGGTGCAGGATTTGCATTTGCTTTTGTTGGACTTCATGAGGTTCCTGTCAGACCTGGTCCCTCTGAAAAGCTCTGCCTTGCAGTGGATTGCCCACTCCCCCACTTTGGTGTCATCCACATAGTATAGATGAATGGCAAAGGACTGCATCTAAGTTATCTGAATCAGTTTTAAACCAGGGAGTGGAACAGGCTTAGAGGGTTCCTTTCAGACAGGCAGAGTTAGACACTGCAAGCTCCCCTTGGATTATGGTGTGAAACCAAGATGAGATGTTCAGAACAGTTGTGGAGACCTTGTTGAGTTCTGTGTTTCTGGCTTTAATGCAGTCAAACTAACTTCACAAAATAAAACAAATCTTGAAAGTTAAAAAGTCCTCTAGAGCACTAGTTCCTAGGTTACTCTTTCTGTTGCAAATGAAATTTGCTCCAGCGCTAACAGCACACACACAGCCCCATGCATCACCAGACTTCTGCGGGGTGGTTTCAGCTGATGCTTCTCCAACTGTGGGGCACTTGCTAAAAAATGGAAGAGATGCTCCTGGTGGAAAGAGCTGGTCCTTGCTCTTGGCTCGAGCGTGCTGCTTGTAGAGGGGAGGCTGGGAGCTCAAGTGGAAGAGGGAGTCAGGAGAGGGCATTGTAAGGCAAGGTAATTTGGAGAAAAATTGGATTAAGTGATCAGAGACTTCTCATGTCAGTTGAATTTGTTCCTCTCTCTGTCATAGTGAAAGTATACATTACCTAGCTTTTCCTGCTCCAGATCCCCAGTTTAAGGTAAATTAGTGTATCGGACTGTTCTTCTAATGCTCTGTGCTCTCCCAAATTGCAGGAGATTTATATAAGCAACAGCCTCGATCCTGCAAAGTGCTGGCCTTGATCCAGGAAAGCACTTCAGCCAGTAATTAATTTTCAACTTGCATACATAAAAGTTAAGTACGCATTTAAGTGCTTGGCCAGATCGCTTGGTATCTTGCAGGCCTGAGCCCTCTGAGAAACTACTGGATCTGCTTTTTTTAATGTAATTCAGTCTGTCACATAAAAAGATGCCATAATCTTTCCCTCTCTACCCCCCCTTTCAGGAGACAAACGTTGTTCTTGGATCAAACGAAAAAAAAAAAGGCCATTTTGAAAAAAAGAGTAATTAAGAGGGCTGCCCCGTGTTCGGAGTGCATGCTTGTGGTTAATAATGGGAACTTTTACTGCTGCTGAGTGGATCACTTAATCCTTTTATTTCTGTAGCTGGCATTTCCTACATTTTTTTTCCAAACATCAATACTTTTATAAAGCAGTCATCTGTTTTTGATTTATAAAAATGTGTCATGAAACTCTAGCCAAGGGATCCAAAAGTTTTATAAATTGACAAGCTAGCTAGTCTTTAATTAGTGTAGGAGAAAAGTGGTTCTTTATTTGTTTTTGCTTCATTCATGTAATTTATATGGAACACCACTAGAAGAAGAAAAAGACTGGCACAACTGGTTTTACTTAGCTTAATGCAGAGCCAAAATATTCTTCCAGTTATACAACTAGAAAGGGAAAAAATCTGCAAAGCCACACATATTATCGGCTGAAATTTGCACCTTATAAACAAGATCTGGTTACTTGACCATGTCACTCAGATGAAATCTAAGGCCAAAGCGGCAAGGTGTTCACATATTTTCTGTGTCCCAGAGCTCTTTGTTTCTTTTTGTAAGCCCTGCTATTCATATTCTTTGTACACTCAACACAAGGAAAATGTTGTTCCAGACCAGCTAAACGTCCTTAGATGTTTGTTCAGGAAGCCTTCTCATTTCTCCAAGGAAAGAAATACAGAGTGATACTGGAGAAATTGTAGCTAAAATAAATAAACATACTTAGATTTTTGTTCAGGAAACCTTTTCTGTTTTACATGGCAGTAAATGCAGAGCAATGCTGGAAAAAAAACTTAGCTTATCAGCCTAGCCATCTCTCAACTATCTCTGTTCATAATCCTTAGGATCTGAAGAACAGACTACTCCAGCCTAATGATTGACTTGCTGAGGAATTATTTAGAGATCTCAGGCAGATTTAACTGAGCAATATTTTAATTTCTAAGTATTAATTTAACTAAGTCATAAGTGGATCTATAACAGCACTCCTTGTCTAGGAACATGCAAAGACTCTGCGGAGGTTTTTTAAGCAAATGCAAATGTTTTGGCATCTCCAACCTACTGATGTGAGAGCAGGGTTGGTGAGAGCAAGTGTCCTGTTCCCAGGTCAGTCACTGCCTCAGTGACATGACTGGGGCCAGACCTCCAGAAGCTGACTGCAAACCCAGTGTTACCCCAACAGCATCCTTTCCCATAGGGCCTGCGACTTCCCAAGGACATCCCTGGGAGGCTCTTGTGCAGTACTTCATGCCTGGGGACACTTTTGCTATCTTGTCTTTCATGTATCTTTAACTCCTGATGAGATGAATGGGGCAGAATTTGATGTATTTGCCAGAAAGAGAAATATTGAGAGGAGATGTACAGCAGGACTGGAGAAGTTTACAAAATCTAGTGGTTATCACTCAACAGACAGACCACGTGGCCTAAAATGCTTGCCTGATAGCCAAAATAAAATACTTTTTGCTCTTTGGTGTGTGGGGTTGAGGAATGCACTGTTTTGGGGATGTTTTGTCTTCACTGAGATCATTGCACAGTGCTCAGTAAGACAGTCACCAGAATAGCAGACCAAACGGCAGGTTCATTAAAGCCTATGTCCTCCCAGCTCCTGAGAGTAACACATGGAAACAGCGATGGGCCAAGGAGACTCTGGGTGCGCACACTGGAGAGGAGACATGAGTGAATCATTGAGTCTTTGTTGAAAAGATCAAGCTGAGGACTTTCACATCTCTGTCAAGTAATCAGTGGGATGAGCTAAACATGTGCTCACAGGAACATTCCTTTCTTTTTTTCCCCTCCTTTCCTGTCCTGCAGGTCACAAGGGAAGAAGGAGGAAGCTGTAATCTTACTGCGGGACTCCATTAAGTACGGCCCAGAGTTCGCAGATGCTTATTCAAGCCTGGCCTCACTGCTAGCCGAACAGGTAACCGGCATCGCTCGAGCGCTCGTGCCTTCTGCGCATGTGTATGCACTGCTGCGACAGCTGCAACACCGCCTGCGCATCCCAGCGGAGCACCTCACCTTGCACACGTGCAGTGGCAGGCGTGGGTCTGCGGCTGTCTGCAGAGAGCTCTCAGGCTGCTTTAGAGATGACTTTTTCAGGATGGAAGGCAACTCATTCGCAGTGAGTAATTACACCCACATGAGGTGGCTCTAAATTAAATCACTGTTGAAGTTGTGAGTAAATACCCTCCCTGCAGCTCCCCGCATCTATGGCAAAGTCTTAATCCATTGCACCTTGAATGTTGTGACAACAGAATAGGTGAGCACTTCTCCCTCAGACACGCACACCTACGTAGATAACCTTGAGATTTCATAATAAATCTATCCAAAGCTAGGAAATGTCAGAAACCAGATGGCCTCTGCAGCCTGAATTCTGCCCCTTGCATGCACACATCGGGATGTGGCCCTTAATTACCATGGTAGATGATGATGTACAGGAGGTGGGAAGGCTCGCTAGCTTTATGTTGCTCTTAATGAGCAGCTGTTCGATATTTTAACCTCATTGTTCAATATGTGCCCCAGGCCTTATTTACTGCACATGGCCTGGGCTGCACTCTGGAGGTGGGATTACTCATTTCCTCTCGGGCTTGTTCCCCATGCTCATTACTCAGAGCTCTCCCTACTTGCTATAGTTAGCTAGTTTATTTCTACAAGGTCCCTGTGAGGTGAAATATTGTCCCTGCAGAGGAAAAGGGAAATTGAGGCACAAAATGCTTGAGTTCAGAAGAAGCCACGAAGTGTGGGTGCCCACATCGAGACCGCCAAGCTCTGCTTTTCTCCACACCTGCAGCAGCAGATAAGGGATGCTGTGCTTCGGGCGTTGCTCCCACAGACTGCAGCCACAACCGGTGGCCCCAGTCTGGGGTTACTAGGGTGGGTGACAAGGTTCTCATAACTGCACTGCTCCAGCAGACATCTGCAAACCGTTTGAAAACTGATTTTTTTTTCCCCCCCAAGTTTCAGATCTAACAGTTCCATGGCACAAGGTGCTAAAGCTTTCTTAAAAGGTTGCCAAAGGCAAATAGAGACAAAGCAAAACAGTATCATCTTTCACTGTTTTCCATTAATCTGGTTAGTGAAATCTTCTGTCCATAAGGGAAGTAGATACATTTCTGCAAAACTATAGGCAGAGGTCTTGTTCTAGTTTAGGCTTCTTTAATGATATAGACACTCTGCAAAACTCACCTGTGATATATGTGGCTTACTGAAAGATGTGCTATTTTATTTTCCCTCTTAAGTCACTTTCAAATATTTGAATATTATTAATATCAGCTGCAGGGACCTAGAAATATAGTATATGAACTGAAAGAAGAGCCTCATTGCATGGCAACTGTGTTTTGAATAAGCCTGTCAATGAAGAGTCTTCTGCAAGTACAGGAAATGAGTCCTCTGCAGTAATACCTGGTTTTAATATTAATTGAAATTATTAATTAAAGCCATCGATTGTAAGGTCAACAGGGCAGTAAAACCGTTATAGCGTCCCAAGGCCTTCTGCCCAAAGCAAATGCCATTGTAAGTCCAGCAATAATTCATCTACTGATATGTACAGATTGTTCATCCTCTTGTGACCTGAGTAAGTGGTAGGGAAAAAAGATAGTTAGTTCAATTTCCTCAGAAAATAGTGATTTCCTGCAGGCTTTTAACACCTTCTCATGTTCAGCCACAGCAGATGACAATCTGCTTGTGTAGCTCTTGCCTCGTGTACCCAACCTAGTGATCGCAGTAGGGGCTGTCCTACAAATACGTGCTGCTGCCCGTGGCTGTAGCCTGCAGAATCACACCCTAATGCTGTGTGCTTCCTGGAGGCAGCAGTTTTGGCGTCTTCAGCCCAAAGGATGATGACAGGACTCCATTTTTCAGTTTTGAGTTTTCCTCTTTGTCTAAGCGATAGTGTCCAAAATGACTAAAAGTTATAAACCTGTTTTTCTGTCTGCCTGTGGCCCAAAGTCTGAGAAGCCAGGCAGTATGCAGTAGGCTGCATGGACAGCATCGCGGTGGAGCTTCGGGGAAGGGAGCACAAACTGGTTCCCTCTTGCTGCAGGGTGATAGAAAGGGGCTGAAGTGCCATAAGTGGCACAATAAAATAACTCACATGAGGTGACTGTGCCCACGGCAAACCGCTGCTCCTCCAGCTTTGCACTAAGGCTAGGAAGGGGGAAATGGGGGGATGCAGCTCAGTGAAATAGTGCTGGGATTGCCTTGGTCAGTCCCGCACAGCGTGTTCCCCCCGTCTTAAAGGCGATGAATCTCAAGGAGGGCTTATGGGTCCTTTCCTCCTACAGCTGTAGAAAACGATCCTAAAAGGAATGTCTCATGTGCCAGGGAATTAGCCTGTAACTCAGTGTAATTGCCCCTTTTCTCTCTATGATAGTTGATTCTGAAGCCAGAGCTGACGTCGAAAAAACCGCCACCACATTGTATAGAACAGTTTGGCTTGCTTGTGCCTTTTATAAATGCTTGCCCTTCTTCCTGCTCTTTCTGCTTGGTATCGTAACTCAGTCACAATGTATTGTTGTTTTCCTTGTTTTCCATGATCACTGCAGTGGTGCTAATATCAGAAATCAAACATTTTTGTTTGCCGTTTTCGCAACACTCATGTAACACTGGTTCCCCAGGATTTACTCTGATGCACTTGAACAGCACCTTCTCCCCAGCTCTTGCAGTTTCAGCAGCCATCTCGTGCTGCTTGGTGGCTCTTTTCAGGCCCCAGTTTCTGGATTCAAGTGATTTTGTGTGTATGTGTGTAATAATATCAGCCTACACTAAGAGAAAGAAACTTTTAACCCACTTAGCTGGAGAGGAGAGCCTACTCAGGCGTAACCAGACTGAAAAACTGAGCCATAAAAAAAAACAGACTTAAAAACTCTGGAGTTCAACAGAGAGATCCTCACATGCATAATTTTTTTAATATCATAAAAATCTCATACATTTTTTAAGCTAATCTTCTGAATTTTGTGAGGTTGATGAATGTTTCATGAAGGTCTGGGAGTGGCATTATTAAGTGTTGATGAGAATCAAGCCTTGATGAACTTACAGCATTTCTCCCAAGAAAAGGAGAGGCTGTGAGGCAGAAAGCTCTGGCACAAAAAGCTGGTCCCACCCTTCACAATTTCTGACTGCACTTAATGCAAACACTTTGTTAGAGAAGTCATCCCAGACTCTGCACTGAGGCTGACGCATGCAGGGTCAGAATGTTAGGTGCTAAAAAGCCAATGCAACCATGATAAAAATGCTAGAAGTGCTCGGTATTGGTGAGTGTGATTGTTTTGATGTGGGACACTGCTAATCCAGTTTCACACAGCCCTTCCATGATTTAAAGATTGGGTTTATGATAAGTAAATAAAATGACATACATACACACAGAGCTACATTCTTTGGCTGAAAATTAAAATCAGAGGAAAAGAAACTAATATAGAAATCTTTGAAAATATGCTTTTTAATGTCTTGGTAACACAGATATTTTCTCAAAAAATTGCTTTTCATTTTAGTCAATTCTGATGATCACTACACTTTTCCTGACCCCGCAGGACAATGATATGATGTCAAATTCACATAAATATATCCAAAATGTCCAAACTTAAGAACTTTTTAAAAGTGTGTTTCTGTGTTTTATCACACACTATCTTTTTTGCTGGCTGACCTTTATCATGTAAATGTGAAACCACTTAACCATGGCAAACCATGTGCTTTCATCAAGTCATACTCTTCCAATGCAATTAATTCCAGCTCTCCAGTTCTGAAATAGGAGGTGAGAAAGTAGTCCAGACATTTAAGCAGGTACAGAGCAAAAGCTGCTGTCAGGTACACCCTTTAAATCCAGAGAAAGCCCCGCAGGCTCCAGGATTTGCAGGACTTGAGGAGAGGAGAGTCCAGAGCTGGGAATGGACCGACCTCTTATTTCAATGTGGATTCAGCTCCTGAGCAGGAGGTCTGCCTTGGTGACTCCATACCTTCCTCAGTGGAGACCTGGCTGGCTGGTTTCACTTGGGAGCATCATCAGGAGGCTGTGGAGTTTGTCACCATAGGGCTGTGCCGCTCCATGGAAGGGGAAGAATTCAGAAAAGCGTCTTTAGTGCTGGAGGCTTGCCTGACACCCCTCTGCACCATGCTTGTCTCTGCTGTTCATGGACTCCTTCCATAAACACATCCAACAGCAAAGCTTTGAGGTTAGGGAAGGTGGAAGACTCTGATAACCCATGCTAGCGAGCATGCAGGCAGTGGGCATGCACTAGCTGGAGGAAAATGGAAACCTTATTAAGTTGCTATTTGATCCAAATGAGATACTCTATTTTTATTTCAAGACCAGGCTGCCCATAGCTCAGGTTAGACAGAACCCAGCCAGTGGGACACTTTCCGTAGGCAAAGTTCCCAAAGAAAAGATCTGTATTTTCCAGAAATGCTCAGCACCACAAACCTCCTTGAAATCTATGCAAAATATAAGGGCTCAGTGCATCTGGGAATCAGCGCGGTGACACGTCCCGTCAATCCCAGTGAGCTACGCCTCACATATTGATAACGCCTGGTTTTAATCTGAATCTGTGAGATTTTCCCCACTCTTTCATTGCCCCCCATCCTCCTCCAGCTTCCCTCATCCCCCTGCACGAGCTCCCCATCCTCAAGCCATGACACATGCCAAGCTTTTATTCCTTATATTTTCCCCACTGCTTAGGAAATGAAAAGCAGAGCTCCAGAGGGGAGAAGTTAGGCATTGAGATGCTCATTAAACAAATAAATTAAAATACATCTGCTCCCAGATGACAGGTATTTCTCAACAGAACCAACATGACCCCTGTCACTGTGTGTTTCCCAGCTGGGGCTCACTGATGTTGCACAGGAGCCACTTTTTCCAGCTGTTATTTTGGTTTCACAGGTAGCTCCAATTGCAAATGTATCGGGTAAAGCTGTCAGAATTGCTCTGGAATATCAGACAGCAGCTATATCACATCTATGCCATGGAGTAACATTTTGGCCTCCTAGGTGGTGGGGTGGGCTGGTGCCCCAAGCTCCCTGTGTGGTGAGGGACTTGTCACAAAATGCGGGTATGCAGCAAATGGTGCTGACACCCTTTCTGCCACGGCTAAGAAATCTCCTTCTCTTTTAAGGAACGGCTTAAGGAAGCGGAGGAGATCTATAAAGCTGGCATAGAGAATTGTCCAGAGAGCTCCGATCTGCATAACAACTACGGTGTTTTCTTGGTTGATACTGGTAAGTGAGAAGGAGCAAGGGATTTTCCCTCTCTGCCTTATTTGCTTTGATTTGTTTGTATTCAGCAGTATGCATCTAAAAGGATGTCGAAAGCTTCCAAAGCAATAGATGTGCCTCCACTGTAGCTTGGAAATAAATATCCCCACACTGCTGAGATGGCACAGCATACTGAAATTTGTAATGAATGCAGGGACTGTGCAGCAGTGGCGTTCAGCCCGGCTGTTTCCTTCAGTGTTTTTCTCCATCTTCGCACAGGCAGTTGTCCCCTTCAATCTGAGCTGGGCAGCACCCTGACACTACTGCCGTTTCTCCAGGGAAGCATGGCCACATCAAACCAAATCTCAGGCACACAAGTGGATCGTTACAGTCTTTGGAGCACTTGCAGCTTTACTTGGTGACAAAGAAGCTCTTTGACTATAAAAGTTGAGTGCCACCACTATAAAAACAAACATGGCTTTTAAACCACAATCATCTGTGAAAACAAAACCTAAGATACTGTGGAGGGAATTGATTTCTCAGGAGCTCCGTAATGACATCCAAAGCCTTTCTTTTCTGGGCTCCTAGTTTCCATCCAACTTCTCTGGACTCAGGCACTTCCTGGCATCCACGTAACAACAAAAAAAATGCTGTTGTAATTGTGGCCTTTTATTGTCAGCTTTATAAGCAAGGCCAAGTTTGACAAATGACTAGTGGAAACCAACCTACTGTCTTACTCTGATCCCTCCAGAACAGAGCTGAGACTCAGTGATGAAATATTGTAGGCTTAAAGTGTGTGGTTGCTACCCATTCTGCCCCTTTCACACTGTGTCTGGTTCTGGTGGTGCTTGGGAAGAAAGGACCGTGGTGTCTGTCAGTCTGCCGCTGGCTGTCCTACCTCTGAGCTGATGCTCAGCTATCGCTCTTCTGTAGTACCAGTGTGAAATAAATATGAAGCCAAAATAAGTATTTGTAATCAAAAAAGGCATCACAGCATTAGTGACAGAGCTTGAGGTTCTGAATTTGTGCCCGCCAAAATTCAAGCTTGCAAATAATAAAAATTCCTCAGTGATTTTACTCTGACATTGTACTCATCTTTGCTTGCCAACCCAGATAAACTGTCCAACTCTTGCCAAAAATTGTGGCTCAAACACAGTGCAGTGCACTTTCTATTTTTTGCACTTGTGTATTCTGCCAAAGTCAAAACTAACTTTTCCTGGTTTACTCCTACACTGCCCTACACACAAACAACAGGAAAAAACCCCACTGACTTTTGATACTTCAGGCGTGACGTGTAAGTAACTCTCCTGGAGACATGATAAGGCGTGAATGAAGTGGCTGGGAGTGAGCCCGTCTTTCCTGGCAGGCACAGGGCAATGCTGTGAAGCACCACACCAATTAACTTGCAGGATTTTGTGCAATAAGCCTCCAGCAAGTGTCAGCTCCGGGGAGCCGTAACTGTAGACAGCTCTGCAGTGGCCGTAGACACACAATGTGTCTCCCTTAACCATGCGCTTTACCCCTGTGCGTTGAGCAGGGGGGGCACTGGCTGACTTATGGACTGAGGTGCATGCCCAGCTGCTTCCCAGGATGTTTTGTAGATGTGATTTTCAAAAACATCTGCCTGCTCAGCAGTGGGAGAAGATCGAGGCTGCCGCTGAACATTTTGAAAAAGTCCTACCCTGAAAGATATGACACTGGTCTTGGATGAATTTTAAGTGCTTCTAAATCTCCCTGTAGACGTCCCTTCTCTCTCCTGTAAAGGAGACGCCGAGAAGTATCAGTGTTACTTTTGTGTTGCATAGATAGTCTCAGGAAAACCAAACTAGATCTAAAAAGCTATGAAAATAAAATTCCCATGGCAGCATATGTTCAGTGCCTCAACACATGCAGGCTGTTTTCAAGTTCTGCTTTCCAGCTAGAAATGGCATTAAATACATTGTGAAATGATTTGGCTTGAAAAATGCCAATCCTCAAGAGCTTTGTTGGTGGACAAAGCTCCGTGAGTATTGGTGTTCATCAGGAGATTATCTAGTCTAGAGTGTGCAAACCAATTAAACAAGCACTGGGGTTAAAAATACGGTATTCACGTTGCTGAAATGCTGGAACTTTATACTGTGCCCTGTTAATTTCTTTAGTAGGTAGTCAGGAGGCCCTGCCTGAGGAAAGCACTGCACAATCCTTCTTGAAGAAAGCCATTATTTAGCTAAATAACTATTAGAAATAGACCTTTAGGCTTTTGGGCTAGTGGTCTGGCACCTTTTTGCATAGTGTTGTATTTTGTTGTGGTGCTCGGTGATGTCATGGACTGCGGGACCTCGCACAGGTAGAAGTTTTCACGCAGCGAAGCAGTGCCACCCCATGGCTCCTCTGCAACACAGAGATGGTGCCTACGTGCTCCAAAATAGGCACCTGGACACTTCTGGTCTGGGATTTATTGCCTCGAGGTAGGAATTAGCTGGTCACTGGTACCTAGTCCCAGTCCTGTTGAGCAATGCACAGAGACTAAGCAGGGCCAGCGCAACAGAAGTGGAGGTAATAATCTCTATTTGGCAAGAGCTGAAGCTATTTGCAGCCCTGGTGGGGTTGTGGGGAATACTGGGTGGCTTGTTCTCTGTGTCTCCATTGCCTGTGTCTCCAGTGGGCCAGGGTAGAAGAATGCTCTACCAGGAGATGGGACACGTGCCCCACCCCCGTCTCTGGGGTGGGCTCTCTCCTTAGCACAGCGGGTGCATCCCTGCTGGTCGGAGGGTGCTTTCAGTCAGGAGTCTTCTTCTGGTGACTGTACCCTCAACTTGCAAAAACGCACTCCTAAAAAATCTGTTTCTCAGGATTGTCTCTGAATATTGGGGCCTCAATCTCAGTTT